ACTGACTTTTGCAGATATATTCATTTGAATTATGCAGTCTGAATCTGGACCTCAGATTAATGTTGGAATGCATTTTTACACACGACAGGAGAAATAACTGTCTGTGTTGGTGCTTCATTGGCTTTTAATGTCAGGATAAATATGTGTTGTCAGATGATTTCTATACTGTTTTTTTATGTTATAGGCTAACGACTACTATAGCTTCGACAAATCCATCTACAACTCCAGTTGTGTCTCCAACCACAGTGGCAAACAAAAGTAAGTGAATCTTTAATTATGTATGTCATTTTGTCTGACTGACTTCTTCTGAAGGTTAGGAGAGCCAGCAAAAACAATGAGTCCTAAGCATTCAAGTAGATCTTTAGGAAAAGGAGATTTGAAAACAAGATGTGATACTGTGGGTTTGCTTTTCAAGCTTTTTGGGCCACACATCCCAAAAATATTGCTGAGATAAAGCAGCTCTATTTAAAAGAATGGAAAAAATTCCTCCTGACCGTACTTCAGATTTGATGTGCAACTACTTAAAAAAACACAACTGAGGCTGTCGGAGCCAGATTACTAAATGCACCAGCACCAAGAATAATAAATAATAAAGTTTAAAACTGTATTTTTCTTAAAGTATGTTAATGCAAACGCATTGTGTTGTCTATCCGTGTGTACTAGAAGATTACATCACATTATATAACCCACTAATGTTGAGAAGTAATTCCAAACTTGCTTCTTTTTTTTTAATTGTACGACAGGATTGATGTCTACAACTGTTACACCAGCCTCAACTTCAACTCCCTCTCCAAGCAAAGCTCTTGTTTCAACATCCAAGGCTTTCACGACACCATTAAATCCTATTATAACAGAAATTCCAAGTAACCGTTAGCGCTCATTTTATATTTTAACAACACATTTGATACATTAACTTACTGCCCTTGGTTTTGTAGTTTAGTTTTATAACGTATCACATTTGCTATGGACATTTTAGCAGGTTTAGCAGCCTCTGATTGTTATCCAATTTACATGGAGGATAAAGACATAATATGCTTATGTCAGAACTTATTGATGTGGAGTGTGTCTTTGTGTCCACAGCGGGGAATACAGGAATTTTTCTTACGATTCTCGTGATTAGCTTTGTGTTGCTCTCATGGTTCCTGCTGATCTGCACCATGAAGATATTCAAACACAAAGACAGTTTTTGCTGGAGGAGGAGGAAAGAGGCTGAAGTCTCCCAGAACGGTAATCTGCAGTAAATAAATCCAATAAAGTACCTGTGCGTTGTATTTAAGTACACATTTGAAGTGTTTGCACTTCATATGAGATTTGTGTAACTTCATCTTCTTTAAAACGTAATGGCACAAATTTGACCCTTAAGGTTAAATGTTACCTTTGTTACTTTTCTCAGTCCTTTTTTTTTTCTATTGCCTAATTGTAATTTGTTCAGTGCAGGGTTTTTACTATTTTTCAAGTGCTTTGAATTGAACAATCACTTTTATTCATCAGAGTATTTCTACAACTACCACTGAGCATTAATACACAGTACATAGAGTAAACAGTACAGGCACTTAGCGGTTTGGTAGATATTGACTGGAGACATTCAAGTAGTTTTCATATGGCTAATATCAAAGTTATGACCTTTGGGAAGTTAAGCTACTATGACACCTCGCAACCAAAGACAAATTTTCTCATGTTACTCCTCACAATGTGAAATGTACTGTCCAGTTGTGCATTAAATAGAAGAATATCCATATTTTGTTCTGTTTTAAAAATGTGCCTTAGTGACTGAACATGTCTTGACTAACAGACAGGAAACTCGATGATAATATCTCCTTTCCTTTTTAACAGAACAACCCAGTCATCAAGGCAGTAACCCGACCACACTGGTTTGTGCTCAGTTTCATGCACTTCGTTTTCTTTAAAGATAGCAATCTAGGCAGGAACGCTTACTGTAGGTGCACAGTAAGAATTTCTTGTATATAGTTCATCAAGATAATTAGCTCATTAGCTTATAATTAGCACACAAGAAAGGCAGAAAGTTTTGGTCATCCCTGTCATGCGCTTCAAAGTTTGTACTCATGCTGTCTTGTTTGTTCTTTCAAGACGCTTACAGTGTCTGAGGAAACTCCCATGTTGACTCTCAATCAGAGTCCAGCCACATCAGAACATCCAACCCACATCAACCCTCTCGTGCCAGTCAATGGCCAGATAGGTAAGACTGAGTATTTGATCTCTTGCTAACATGCACGGCATGCAAAATACGGGACTTTGATAATTATGTGTTGATGATTTCTAATTAAAAAAACAAAACAAAAACACCCCCTGCAGAATTCTCGGAAAACTTTATTTTAGTCTCAAAAGTCATTTCCTCATTCCCAACGTAAGGAGTGTTTAAAATATTCCTTACTTTTAATAGGACTTCAGTGAGGAAGGATAAAAAACCTCAAATTCAAGAACAGCCAACAATCAAACAGTCTGCATTTCTTTTTCTGTCATTCGGTATTAAGTATTCACAGACGAAATCCTTCTCTGTCCTTCAGCACAGGCTTCCATTGTATTGCACTTTAGGGTAAATGTAACCATTTATGGTTTAAGGCATAACTGGCAATATAAAACTGATAAATGTGACTTTATCTGCAACATTTTAGCAGGAAATAATTTCTTCTGCTACTACTTCTACTACTACGATCCCAGGAAATGTTATGTTATTATTTAGTTATGTTACTAGAATCATGGGATTATCAGCTAAGAAGAACACCAGGTACCAAATGAAACTCAGTGGTGTTATAGATATTTTTACACATGAAGTGCAAAGGAAGCTTTTGTCATATTTTCAGAGACAATATGACTCATAAAAGGATAAACAACATTTATTCATTTCTGTATATATTATATCCTTTAAGTAGGCAGGAAAAAATATCTCTCTCTTTCCCTATATACATATAGATATAGATATATAGAGCGATATATATTGATATAGATTTACATAGATGGTTAGAAGATTAGGGTCATTGCATCACGTCCTTCAGGACAAGTCAAAATGAGTTTATACGGTACACACTATAAGGCTGAGTTATCTTTTGGTCACTTAGGAGTTTAAAACAGGCCAATCAGCACAAGCTGGGTAAATAATGTAGTTGCTTAAGAACTTGCTTCCATACACACACCACAGTGTGATTTTTTTTATTTCTGTGGTGAGCAGTAGAGATGGTGCATGCTGCTGCACTGAATTACTTAAGAAATTTGTTTATTTAGAGAGGAGGTGAAACCTATTGTTGGTAGCGCTTCAACTTTCTCCCCTCATTTAAATGACTGTGGACTTCATCCGAAGTGAGACTTAGGTATTGAATGCTGGAGGGTGTGATGGGCTTGGCTGTAAATGTTTGAGATAAGCGATGTGAAAACTGCGAGAAAAGTTGTAGAAGAGGAAGTGTTCAGCATTGAGTTTTCCAGTAAAGTTATTAGCATTTATCATCAGTGACACATGTTTTTATGACGCACCTAAATAGGTGGTAGACAGTAGGTCATAGCCAGAAAAAGAGGCATTTGGCATACTTTTTTTTTTCAATTTCATTGTTTTACTATTTAACAAATGCTTTCAGATAAAATGTGATCCAAGCAGATGAATGAAAAAGACAAACTTTAAAAAACTAAAAATATCATATATCATCAACATTAAATGAGCAATATTTCTAAAGCTTTAAGGAGAATAGCTACCCCTTCAAATACCTGCTTGTCTGCTTGTGTTGTTAAAAGGAAGCGCTATTTTGCTACTGCTAAATTGTTTAATTGAATTATATTAGTAAAATTAAAAAAAATGTCGCTGTTGCAGTTTCTTCCATCTGATAGAAGTGCTGTATACTATCTATAAGTGCTGTTGTTTTTACTTTTTCATCTCTTCTTGTTCACCATAGTGTTTATCAGAACCACATCTGTGGAGGTGGAAACTAGAAAATAGAGCGTTCTTACTCTTTCGCATCAGTCAGCAATGTGACATTAAGTCAAATGGCAAGTCAGATAGTGAACACATGTGCCTGTTAACTGTGTCATATGGTAAACTCCTGATATTCAATGTAAGCCTTTCAAGCCTGTAGGTGTGCTTTAAATACAACTGCAGTCATTAGTGAGGTCATGTTGTTGTTGGCATTCACGGCTAAGATCAAAACCAGTTTTTTAGTTTTGTGCTGTTTGAACTGGGGTGAGGATTATGCTCTGTTCTCCTCTTCATAAGCTTGAAATGGGACTTTTATTCGCGTTGTGTATTCTGTATCATTACGTTTCTTGACTGTTGTTGTCCTGTTATTACAAAGTGAGAAAGCTTTTCCACTTAGCAGACCAGTGCTGATATAATGTGGTCAAATTTCTCTGTATATCTTCTGAATTACTTAATTAGTAATTACTTAATTAATTAATTAGTTTTCCAGAGTATGCCATAATGCTGGTTGGAGGTTATAACGTGGGTTGTATTCAGTGGTTGAGAGGAGGCGGCAGAAACGCTCAGCAGGACAGTCAAAAACTCACAACCACACTGGCACTGGGAATTCCACAGTGGTGTCCTTTAATTGACACACTCATCACCTGCCTTACAAGGCCCGGTTGAACAGCTGCTGCCTTATCATACATGAAACACAGTGTTCCTACAACCTGTGACATTACTTTGAATTAGGAAGGTAAATATATGAGGTCCATGTCAGTCCATACGTCCATGCGCAAGCACGTTTCTCCCACACTCTACAGAGAGCAGTGACGCATACTTGTGACATTACTAAACATTAACTTAAATTGTCTTAAAGAGACACCACACAATTGCGACTGTTACAAGGTGTACACTGAATCATTAAAAAAAGCTTTATATTAGAGTCAGTATATACAAATCATGAGTTAAAGTCTTGAATTATGCCTAATTTCTTTATATATTTGCTTCCAAGGAGCCAGACTTTTAAAGCAGTATTGACCAGTAGTTCTCCAGGCTTTCTGAAGGTCTTTCAAAGTTCTGTCTTTGGACATTGGCTGCTTTTTCACTCAGTCTCACTCTGATCATTTTCCGAGGATTTTTTTTGGTTTGTTTATTTTGCCACTTCACACTGACCTATGACTCACTCAAGCATAAAAAAGACACCTAACTCAAGGAATGAATCAGTGTTGTGTTAACACATTAGAGACAATGTAGCAAAAAAAAATATTTTTTTTCAGTTGTTGTCCACGCAGCTTGACACGCTGTTATTGCAATAAAGGCATACTGTATAGAAAAACACGTAGTAGAAGGCTATGGGTCATGGATCGGCTTTCTTAGAGCCTGAACATCAAAGTTATTGAAGAAGTGACAGAGAACGGAATGAAAAGCAGCCAATGAAGAGCTTTAAATGTGCTCCAAGAAGCCTGGGGAACTATTCCCAAAGACTAGTTAAGGAAAGTGCAGTAAAGCATACCTAAGAGAGTTCAGGCTGTGTAAGATAATATAGGTGGTCACACAAAATCTTGACTTTCAAGCTCATTAGAACAAATTAACTCTGTTTTGCCCTTATTGAATGCATTTCTGTGGATATTTGCACTTCTTTGCTATTTTCTTTGCAAAATATAAAAATATGATGGATGGCTCAAGACATTTGCACAGTACTGCACACTGTAACAATGCTGATCTTAAACATGACCAAAGTTTTTACCAGTGAGTCCAGTGTAAGGGGAAAAAAAACATAAAAAAAACCACTTGCTGTTATCACTGATTATCACATTAGTTTCTCTAATTGTGGAAATGGATGACGTCAGTGACAAACAAAGTCACAAACAGGAAGCTCTTAGAAGCAGCAAAATTGACTTTTTTGAGACAGGAGGTGAACTGCTGTGCAAATGCTCTATTTCACATAAATACAGATTATTTTAACCTCAGACTAACGCAAAACAAGCAGCTGAGTGCCCTGTGTCCTCTGACTGTTAATTGTTCTCTCCTTCCAGTTGCCAGACGAAATGACCACGCAGATCGCTGGCCGGCCATCGTCCTCTACGCGATCATCAAGGAGGTGCCCTTGCATAGGTGGAAGGAGTTCTTGCGTCTGCTTAAGGTGACTGACCAGCAGATGGCACGAGTCGAGATGGAGACTGGTTTCAGTCTCGGCTCCATGGAGAAGCAGTACCAGATGCTGAGGCTGTGGAGCCAGCACGCTTCCTCCAAACTCAGTGATATTTTCTCAGCCTTACACTACATGGAATTATCCGGCTGTGCACAGATGCTCCAGGAAAGCCTGGAACAGCTGCAGTGGACGCCTGACCACAGACAGGCGCTCACAGCCATTTGAATGTAGCAGTGCGGGACAATTGAGGCTGTACCTGGCAGCACAAGTGTAATGCTATCTATAACACGACTGGAAACATAAATTATTCAGCCATGGACGCTGGTGTGAAAGACTAGACACTCGCTGGAAAGGACATTACGATCTGTAACCATATAGTACAACCCTAGAAACCTGGAACAATGTCGTAAATATCCCGTACTGAGTAATGCAGAGGTAGATTAAAGCCAAATAAAAACATCTGGTAAGCTGGAATGTGAAAAAAAGTGGACCCTTATTTCATGTTAAGACAGAAACCTAAAATGTTGAATGTAAACATATGAAATAATGGATTTGTAGCAGTGCAAAATGCAGTTTCGGACATCAGGTTACTTCCTCAAGAGCATCATTAGCATTTTTAGGAACCACATAACACCTCTTAACACACTCGTAATATTCTTGTAGCCTACAGTAGGTGGAGAAAGTAAATAAATAAAAAGATATTAAGGGAAGTCCCCTTCCCTTAACTAATGGCTGCTGCCAAAAAGTTGTTTAGAACAATGTAACCTCCAGTTTTTTGTGTGGTGCCTCTTAAATGCCAACGATGGAGGCTGCGGTTTTACAGCAGTACTGCAATGTACATGCATAACTGGGAGGTGTTTGTGCTTAAAGGGTAAGCAAGGAAGTTGCACTTCCTTAGTGTAGTGTACGTGATTGTTTTACCTCCGCAAGTCTGTGCTTGAGATTTCTTTCTTTTTTCCCCCTTTTGACTTGTCAAAGGACAGACTTCTTCAGTTTGAATCTTTAAACTGTGCGTGTGCGTGATCACTCCGTGCACATCTGGGATGTTTGTGCAGCACAGCTGCAGACGTCTCCCTCGTTTGGTATAACAACTCAGCCACTGATTGTTATTGTGCACCCTTGCAAAGGAAGAAAACTGAAATCCCCAAAGGACGTCAGTTTTTCAGTTTCCTGCAACTAAATGGTGTCAGTGTTCAGCATGCTGGGTTTTTCCTCACCACACATATTCCATTTGAACGGATGGTTCTCACTTGTGGTGTTTGGGTATCTCACTTTGAGAGGTTTTTTTGTGTGTCTATGTGTGTGTGTCATTATACTTCATTGACAGTAAAGGTCTTGGATTTTCCCGTTTAAGATGTTTATTTAATAAAGTTTTAATGGGAATGTAGGTCACTTTCCCTGAGATATAAATATTTGTATATGTATAACTGGGAGGTGTATGTTAAAGTATAATTGTTTTTTTTATTTATGATCCATTTGTATGAATATTTGTGTGGTGCAGAATAAACTGAAAGTGAAAATCTTAATGTTTTTCATCTCATTGTGGTCTTTAGTGGTACACTGTTATGAAAACGTGCTACTGTAAAACACCAAGTCAAAATGTCACCTGTATATGTATATGTCATGAATAAAATGTCTGGCCACAAGGTGGGAGTATGGACTGTATGTTTGAACCGCAGCAGCTGGTGTGCATTTGTAAGCGCCCCCCCGCCCCCCCAACCACCAACAAAGAAAATAGGAGCACAGTACTTGAAGAGCTTTTATTCTTGAGTTGGATTACACCCTTCGCATGAATTGCAAATTTGGGCTAAAAGCACAAAGAACAGCTGCCTTATATTGTTCATAGTTACTGGATGGAAAAATAACAGATCCCTTACAGGACGACATTCACTTTATGTGTTTACATGCAGCACGACAGCTTCAAAATTTATAGCATTATTCTTCTGCTGTCAGGCTGCACATCAGCATGTGTTTGCCATGTTTTTAACCACACCAGTGTCACCTGCCAAAAAAGGGATTTCCAGTATTTCTCAATAAATAAATAAATAAATAAATAAATGAAAGATTACCAGAACTGAAACTGCTCTAAATGACTTGTTGGCCTTTACTGTCACCTATATCTCGCAAATGATATCACGTCATATAACAAGCTATGCAGAGTAAGCAACACTTCTTTTACAAGGTAAAGGTTTTGTACTTATTTAACCAGGTGAAAAGATTTATTGAAGTTAGAAATGTGGTTTTCACATCACACTTGGCCAAGTGGGCAGTAGAAACCGCAATAAGTTGAACACAGCTTTCTATACAGATATTTAAGTGTCCAAAAAAAAAAAGTTTGGACAGATGATAATGTTGAACACAGAGTAGGCACAATAAAGCAGTCATAAACATCTTTGCAAAACAGGTCATTTCTTTATTTTATATATATATAAAGGCTTTGTAATTCCTCTTGACTACTGCCTTTTTATCGGTTTATATTTATCAATATAAGCACAGAAAATCACTTTTTGGCACTTTAATTTTTTTTTTTTTTTTAAAAAGAGGTTAAAGATGAAGTTAATTTAATTTTCCTTGTGTCTTGACCTTTTTCTTTTATATCATAGGTGTTATATACGCTGTAGCTTCAACCTTCACCTTTTCGATTTGTCATATGATTTCTTCTTTTCTTTTAATCATTTCGTGTGCTATAAATGAACCGAATAAAGACAGTTAACCGCCGGGAGCACCAGCTACAGCACAGTTTAGAGGCTAACTAAAGACGGTTTTAGCATTTTTTTTTAATCTCTTAAAATGTCTGTAGGAAAATGAACGGCTCTTTGGAGGTATTTCCAAATGACATATTTTCCCCCTTTCGCACCGTTTTTCGTGCTCCCAGCAGCATATCTTTAACGCCGAGTTAGCGTGAAGGAGCAGGAGATTTTTATCAACAATTTTATGCAGTGTCGCCAATAAGGAAGCTGCAGGCTTCCTACGTTTTCTGTGGTTTTCAAGTAAGCGCGAGGGTTAGTGGTTTCTATTGGCAACCGGACCCGGATTCTCAAAAACAACAGCTGGCGACGTAAACCGTCCCGTCCTGAGAAGAGACGCGACACAGTCTGGAGGAGTTTGTCGAGACAAAAAGGTTTTTGTGGTTTGTGTATGTGTGGTTTTTTATTATTATTATATATTTTATGCTGTCTCAGTGCCACCTGTTACACACTTAAAAAAATCCGCTGCAGCTTCTGTTTTGTGAGCGTTGACCTGGATAGCTATTGAATTACAAACATGGAGGACAGTTTTCTTTTGTCAGGACGTCTAATTCAAGACAATAAGTTGACGCTACCCGTGAAATAGAATTTTAAAGACATTTTTAAGTCTTGAGGGATTCAGTCTACTGTTGTTGTCAAAAAAAGCCGCAGTAACAGGTAGGTTAACAATGGCTCAATAAAAGCCACTGGTACAAATCCAGTCAAGTCGATTTTATTTTACCAGTTCCCTTTGCAGGAGATAAAGTCTTTCTTCTTTTGTCAATGATAATCTTATTTTGTGTGTGTGTAAAATTTCACCAAACTAATATCAAGTCAGAACAATACAAATACATAGTTATAAATAATAGAAAACACTGTGCAAAAGTTTCAAACCACTCCTTATGTCTTTAAATTTGGCATCAAAGTAACAAATGTAAGCAAGCAACATACTTACCTTCATACAAGACTTTTTCTTTTTTCATTTTTACAGTGTTACTGAGGAATAGTTCTCCAGGCTTTCTGAAGGTCTTTCAAAGTTTTTTTCTTTTTGGATGTTGGCTACTTTTTCACACCTTTTCACTCCAGTTTTTGTAATTGATAATTTTCCGATAATTTTTTGTTTGTTTTGGTTATTTTGAACAACTTAACAATGCAATAAAAAGCATAAAAAGTCTTCTAACCCTGAACTAGTGTTGTGTCTACACATAACAGAAAAATTAGCAAATTTTCTTTTGAAAATTTGCAATTTTATCTTTTTTACTAGCAGCCTGTCATAAAACATAATGTGTTTTTCTTTAGTTAAATATTATATAGTATAACTCAGTATAACAACATCTTGCCTAAAATCCTGAATAATCTGTATTTATGTGAAATATCCTGAATAAAAAAACTCAGAAGTCCGCACTAGTAGTAGGAGAAAAGAAGAAGTGGCAGG